AAAAGAAGAAAATTTAAAATTAAAACTTAAATAAATGCAAGAAGAGAAAATAAAATAAACCGAAGATTAATAAATACATGAGGTAAAGTACAAAGTTTTATAAGAAAGAATACTTAAAGGAAAATTACCACTTTATATTAGATATGATAGGGAATATTCGAAGTCTTTGGAAAAAAAAAAGAAGAAGAAAAAGAAAAATAATTATATATAATTAAATAAAACCAAAAGTTAATAGAAGAAATGAATCTTACAGAGCATTAAAAAAAATATCTAGAAAATCTTAAATTAAAAGAATAATAAAGGATAAATGATTACAAAAAATAAAAGGCTTTACTCAAAGAACATATTTAAAAAGTCTAGGAATTCCCAGTTTCCAAAATATGGTAGTAATCTTAATAATATGATGCTTTTAATAGTCCTTCTGGTAAAAATTATTTTATTAAAAAAATAATATATGTAATAATTAATATTTATTATTAAGAATAAAAGAAATAAGCTTAAAAAGTTGTTGAATTAAGAACTAAATTTGCTAACGATGTAAAATTTAAAAAAGAAGTATATATAGATGAGGAAAAAAAAGTGGAACTTTAATAAAGAATTGATAAAATAAAGAACCCTTAAAAATACATAAAACCTATTTAATATAGAAAGATATCATAGGATTTTTAAAAAGGGAAAGAAAATGAAAACTTTGATATATTAGTATATAAAGAGGAAATAAAATTAAATAGGGAATATAATAAACATATAGAAAAAGGTGATTTGTATTTAAAAGAAATAAAAGAAAAAGTTAAAAAATATCCATAAAAGGCTAATTCTGAAAAACCTTTAATAAAATAGGAAAACGTAAGTGAAATAGCTAAATCAGAATCGAAATAAAATATAAGCAAAATAAATTATTTATAATAGATTTCTTAAGAATTAAAACTTTTTAAAAGATTGGAAAAAATGAATAATATAGATATATTAGTCAATTAAAGTTCATCGAAATTAGATCCTATTTAAAGGTAGGAGAAATTGATTTCGATTAGTAAGAAATTAGAAAATGAAGCAAAACATAGAGAAATTATTCTTAATATTAAAAAAAATAAAAATAATCTGTGTATTGATGATCTTGATAATAGAGAAAAAATAGATGAAATGTATTATTAATCAGTTAAGGCAAAATTAGCAGTATTTGATTTATATTAATGATAAAGTTATATTTATATATATATATATATAAATAAATACTATAATAAATATTATTTATTTAAAAAAAATATATAATAAATATATTTATTTATAAATATATATAATAATATATTAAAATAAATATAAATTTGTATAAAAATATATTATATATATATATATATATATATATATATATTTATATTAAATTTATTAACAAATAATTTTAAAATCAATCTATATTTATATACATATAATCTACATTATTTTTCTAACATATATATTATTCAAACTGAAAATAAAAAAGAATACGTTTAAATAATAAATTTTAAAATTGAATCTGTTGCTTAATCTTAATTATTATCAGAAACACCTTAAAATATACATTCATATTTTTTTTTATTAAAATAAATTCTTATATATACATTAGAATTTATATTTTTAAATGAGATTTTTCCTCCTAATACTTAAAATTCATTTCCTATTAGATTTTTTTGTATATTTTCTATAGAAATAAAGTGTTCGAAATAATTTCTAAAGTCATAAGAACTGCATGCTATATTAGTATCTAAAGAGATAATTTACGAGCAATAAGTAAGATGACTATTTTCCTAAAAAATATTCTATATAGACTCCTAATTACTATTTTAGAATGAAAAAAACTTATTTATAGAATTCGGGAGAACAAAATACTAAGAAAAAATTTTCTATTCTATATTGTAAGAAATACTTGCCTATATAAACTAAAAGGGTATTTCTTAAATTTCTATTAGAATCTCCTATTAATATTGGCTTTATTACATAAATACAAAAGGCACATTTTCAGGTTTTTTATAAATAATTAAACCTTTAAATTCCTATATATATTCTAACTTTACATTCTTTAATGGATATTCCATACTACGGTTTTCTAAGCATAAAGTTATTAATAAATATATTGTACCCTCAATCTCTTTTTATTGAGTCATACAGCCTATATTTAGGTATTGGTTTTGTGACAATATCATTTTATTTTTTAAACAACTTTTCTTTAATCTATATAGGTCTTCCTTTTCGATTTTTAGGTTCCAGTTTTAATGTCTTATTTCTTATCCTAAATAGATTTATAAATTTTGATTCTTAGATGTTATTTAATATCTAGTATTAACTAAAATATTATTAATATTAAATAAATTATTATTACTATATGTGTTTTATGAGCTATTTTAATTATTATTATATGAGTTATTTTAATTATTATCATATTAATTATTATTATATGAGTTATTTTAATTATTATCATATTAATTATTATTATATGATTTATTTTAATTATTATCATATGAGTTATTTTAATTATTATCATATTAATTAATATTATTTGATTTATTTTAATTATTATTATATGAATTATAATCGTCTTTAAATATTTAAATAGTTTAGTCGTTTTTTTTATTAGAATTCGGTCTTTTTTTATTCTCTATGATTGATAAAAGTAACTCGTTTTCCTCTCTTAAATTTCTGATTTTTCTATTTAATTGATTTTCTTTCATTTATGATTAGTTTTTGGTATTTTCGAGTGCTTATCGTGTATATTTGAGTTCAATTAGATATTTTTTATTTATTTTTTCGATTTCTATTTTATTTTTGCTTTCTTAATCTTTTATTTATTTTTCTTTTTCATAAAGCTTTTGTTATAAAAGGTTATTTTTCTCCAAAATTTATTATTAACTGGACTAAAAAACATTAATTTAACTTTAAAACTCATTAACTTTCCTATCTTCCTTATTATAAACTGGCTTTTCCTTTTGTTTTTTTTCCAAATCTAATTAAAATTGATTAATTTCGACTTCTTTATTGAAAAAAATTTCTTTCATTTTATTAATTTCGAATTCTTTTTCGACCATTTTTTCTTTATATATTTATATTTATTATTCCTGAAGTATATTTTCTTCTCGAAGTTCATTAAATCCTTTCTATAAAGCCATATATTATTATTATTGATAATTTTATTTATTATCTGCGGCTTATATACTATTGATTTAATTTATATAATTATTAGTATTGTTAGAAAAAGAATAATTTTCATTAATTTTTTATTTTTATTATAAATTTTCTAGTTTTTAAACTAAATATGTATTTTCTTCTTAATTTTCAATTAATTTTTATTTTTCATTTAAAAAATAAATATCTTCTTCTAAAATTACTAGCTTTTTTTTTAAAGACTATAAATCCTCATCCTATTATTATATATATTTCTTTTATTAAAATATTATTTAATCTTTTTCTTAAATTAATTTAATTTAATCTTCTTCCCTTTATAATATATATTAACTTTATTATTATGGTATTTCATATATTATATTTTAACATTTATATATTTATATTTCCTTTTCTTTCTTATTTAATTATTATTAATAAAATTATTTTAAATCATATATTTATTATTAGTAATGTTTATCTTTACTATAATGAACTGACTATTTACTTTCTATTTAAGATTAATCGATTTTACCAATTACTAGTCTACTTTTTTATTATATTTATTCATTTAAGGCGCTTAAAAACTTATTTATTTTTTATATTAAAAAATAATAAATAATTATACTCTATTATTATTGGTGTTTTTCATTTAAGAACCCTATTATTATTTTTTTGTCTATTTATTAAAATTGTTAGTTCTTTCGTGCGCATTTTCTATTTTTTATTCGTTTTTTTATGAAGTTATTTCTTCTTTTTTTTACTCGTTTTTTTCTTCTTTTTTTTACTCGTTTTTTTCTTCATTTTTATTATAATTTGTTGAACTTTCGAGGATAAACGAAATATTTTATTTAAGACTAGAAAGAGAAAATTTTCTATCTTTATACTATTAGAAAAATTCAAGAATTTGTAAAAGAAAATCTTAAAAAAAATAGATTTAATCGATAAAACTCTCACTAATCTAAGCATTTTAGATAAAACCATCTAACATTTTAGATAAATTATTTGCTTTTAAACAATAATTATCAATACTTTCTTAATTTAAATCTTTCAAGTCTTTTCTAATTTAACTTAAAACTCTTAAACTTACTTTAATTAATCTAATGCAATATTATCTTCTTCCATTTATATAATAAAACTACCATCAGAATAATAATACGCCTTTATTTGAAAAAACAATGCCTTTATTAACCAAGTTATTATATATTTCCACAAATCTAGAAGGCATACTATTTTCGAGAATATCAAAAGGGAATTTTTAACTCCAAAAAAATATACATTCAATTATATATTCAAAAAAAATCTCTTTTAAATGAAAATCTTAAATATTAATTAATTCTTTGTTCAAAACTATTTTTTAAAATTAAGGTAAAATATCGCTTTCACAAACAGATAAAATAAAATAATGAAATTCAATTTCTAAGCATTTTTATAGTAATTTTAAACTTCCGATACTAATTAAAGCCGTTTATTATTCATTAAATAATAATTTTTAAACATTATCTATTATTTATTGAATTATATCAAAGTTTTCATTTTTTAACTCATTTTAATATTTATCAAAAGCAACTTTCCATGTGTTTTCATTTTCTAATAAAAATATTAATTATTAAATATTCATTTTTTATATAAAATATATATATATATATATATATTATTAAACAAATATATATTTATTATATAACATTTATTTTATTATTTTATTTAAAAATAAAATTATTAGTTTTCTATATATATATAAAATCTTAAATAAAAATATTAATTTTCTTTTTTCCAAGCCATATATTTATTTAAACCAACTGCAAATTCAGAAAAATCCCATAATTCATGAGCTTATATTTAATCCTATGCTTCTTTGCTAATTTTTTTACTAATTTTATTATCTTAATAATACCCTCCATTCTATAATTTATCGAAATCAGTATAGCAACAAGTAAGAGTAGTTTAAGCACCATAAAAGTTACTTTTAGTACCCAACCAAATAAAAGGATAGCCTAAATAATAAATAGATTTTATCAAAAAACCATTATTATTATAAAAATAAGTTAACATATTGTTTCTTATAACACCAGGATGCAAACCTACAACTTTACAATTACCTCCATCTAATTTTCTAGCTAATTCATTAACAAATAGTAAGTTTGCAAATTTAGATTAACAATAAAATTTCCTAAATATATATATATAATTTAAATATAATTATATAAATATTTTATATATATATATATATATATATATATTTATATATATTTATATTATTTTTATCTATATTTCTACATATTTTTTTTATCAAATACATTAAGTCCATTATAGTCTATATTTTTAATATAATCATGCACTTTAGAAGACACTACTATAATTCTTGATTCTTTAGTATTTTTCAATTTTTCTAAAAGTAGGTTTGTGAGTAAAAAATGTCCTAAATGATTTACTGAAAAATTACTTTCGTATCCAATGGGTGATATTTTGAAATCAAGGTTAAATTATCCTCCGTTGTTAATTAATATATCTAATTTTTCATATTAATGGTTTATATTTTTCAGCAAAATTATATATACTGTCAACATTAGACAAATCTAAAGGAATAAATACTAACTTCTTATTTTTTGTTTTTCTTTATATTTCTTCTATTACATCTAATGTTTCGTAATTTCGGCACGCGAATATTATCGAAGCTCCCCTTTTCGCCAAATCAAGTGCCGTTTCTTTTCCTATTCCGGAGTTTGCGCCTGTAATTAAGACGGTTTTGCCATTCATATCTTTATGGATTTTACATTTTCCGCCATTGAAGTATTATTTAGTTAAATATAGAGATGAACATAAAGCAAAAACGGAAAGTTTTTTATTATTTTATATTTTTTTAAACATTTTATTTTTATATATATTAATAAATATCTATTTTATATATTTTTATTTATTAATAAAATGTATAATAACAAAAAAAACTTATAAAAAAAAAAATGTAAAAAAAACATTTATATCAAAAATTATATCTGTATATATGAAAATATAAATAATAAATAAATATAAATATAAATATAAATATAAATATAAATATATATATATTTATATATTAATTTTAAAATTTCTTTTATTTGTATTTTTTTTTTAAATTTAATTTTTTAGTATCGTTTCTATTTAATTAATTAAAATAATCTTTATAAATTATCTTATTACGTTTTTTTATTAAATATGAATTATTTATACTTGATAAATTATTTATTTTAAGTGTAAATATTTTCCTTATTTAAGAAATTTTTTTTTTTTTTTATTAAATTTTATTTTAAAAATAATAAAAAATATATAATTTTATATATTTTATTTATATTTTTTTTTAAAATAAAATACTTTATATTTTATTTTAACGTTTTTATCATATATATATATATATATATATATATATATATATATATATTTATAATTTATGTTTTTTTAAAAAAAAAATCACAAATAAAATATATATATATATAAATATTTTATTTAAAAAAAAAAATCTACTGAAAATAAAAAAATTAAAAAAAAATCAAACAATTAATATTTTTGAAGGTCCGATTCCCATCATAAACGCAAAATGCACCTCATCCTATCCTTCCCAGACTTAATGATTAATATTTTCCATTAAAAAGGTACTTCCCTCTTAAATATTTTCTACAAAAACCTTCATTTCTAATGGATTATAAGTAATATTTATTAAATCTTCTTATTCAATACTAAACAATTAGTTTTTTTTTAAGTTTAAATATCTATCACTATCGTTTAAAATCATCCCATCTTACGAGATCATAAAACAACCATGATTTTGAAAATTTTCTAATACAAAATTATTCTTAATACATTTATTTTTTAAGGCAATTCCAACCCTCATACACCCCCTTAAATTACTTAATTATTAAATTACGGATGTTTACACTGTTATTTGTGTTTTTTTATTTAAAGGTAAAGGCTATTCGCATAAAATAATATTATATTCATCTCCTGTTATAGGTTAAATAGCGTATTTTATAGGACGATCAAGTTCTTATAGTCTTTTTTCGATTTTATTGCTTTTAGTTATTATTTCTTGAGCTTTTAGTGTATTAGAAAATGAGTATATTTAAAAGTTTTACATAATTATATATTTTTGTTTGGTTTTGTTTTTTATTTTCACAATATATATAAAATATATAAATTATAAATACAAATCAAATATTTTTATTTAAGTAATTAAATATATATTAATTTTAATAAAGAGTATTTTCATCAAAAATACATAAAAATTGTTTCGTTTAAAATAATTCATTAGAAATTCCTTTATAGAATTTCTTCCAAAAAATAATTAAAATCATTAACATAAAAATGCTTTCTAAAGCAACAGAAATAACTATAAAATACTTATATTAATCGTAAAATTACTCATTCATAATCATAAGAAAATTCTTTAAATTAGCAATACACATTCTTAAATAAATAATAAAATATAAAGTATCATCAGAGGAAATAGTATTAATTTAAAATAAAGCAAAAGCAATCTTAAAACTTCTCAAATCTTCAATATGTAAAATTTAATTATATTCATTATATAAAGTAAAAAACGTATTTAAACTAATAATAAACCCTTTATTAAGAATTCCTCCATATAGATTTTAGCAATCTTTTAGTTAGAAAAATTATTCGAATTCACTATCCATATATTCAGGGTAGTTATTAATAGGAGTACATATATCATTTCTCAAAATATTAAATAAGTATTTTTCGTATAAAAAATCATTTTATCGATATATTTCTTGTTATATTTACACTACTTTTTAAATGTTTGTTAATAATTAATTATTCTAGAAATTTATATCATATAAAAAATTATTTGTATATTATTATATCTTAGCAGATAAATTTTAATTAGCCTTCATAGCCAACTTTATATTTCCTATAGATATAAGCTTAGAAAGATATGATTATAAATTATATATTTAAACTGCATTATATTATATATATATATATATATATATTTATTATAATATATATATTTACCTATAAAAAGCATATTCTCATAACTTGTTTATAAGAATTATTAAGATTGAAAATAATTTAAAGTCGGATATATTAATATAGAGCCAATAAAAATAATTATAATTAGAATAATTTTATAATTAAAAATATTAATTTTATTAGTTGAACTTATATTTTTTTTTTTTTATATTTTATTATTTTCCTATATATCTAAATACTTATTAATTTTATCTAAATTTCCTTACAGTTTATAAGAAGGGAATGTCCCAAAAAGGTTAAGAATATATTCCTTTTTTTATTATTTCACAATATACATATAAATGATTCCAAAAAACATTATAAAAGTAAACAAAATCGTACAAATAAAATTAAAATAAGCATAATCAATCAAATAATTAATATCCTAATTAAAATCATTTTCTGTAAATTTCTAAAGTTCTTCCATCCCTATATTAATAATAAATTAATTTGTAATAATATTAATATTCTATATAGGTTTTAAATAAGATTATTTTTATTTCAAATCTAAAAGGATTTAAACTGAATTTGCATAAAACTATATTAAACTCTGAAAGACATTTATTTTATATATTTCTAAATTGTACTTCTCATCGTAAATTTCTTCCCAATTAATAAACGTTTAAAGAGCCTATTATAGATTATGAGAGAAATATTATGGTTTTAAAACATAGATAATCTATTTTTATAATAGGTTAATTGCTTAACCAAAAGAATTAATAATATAATTTATTTTAGCCATAATTTATTCTTCAGTCAATTAATAATTTAATTTATTAATCTATAGAAAACTTAAAAAAGAAAGATATGAATAAATTTAAAAAATCTTAGATATTTAATTAATAGGCCATGAAATATTATATAACTCAACTTTAAGTATATCAATTTAATAATAAAAATAAAAAGAACTAATGAGAATAGTTATTATAATAATAAAAATAGATGTAATTCCAATAATATTCAATATAAAAATTTTTAAAGGTGGTTTATTTACTTTTAATTTTTTCAAAATCATATAATGATTTTCATTTAGTTTTTTTTATTCCGAATTGAACTTTTTAGTTTTTCTAGACTAACTTTTAGACTTACTACCCTATTCATATTTTACATATTGATTATTTGCTTTTTCGTCATCCTCGGTATTTCCGTAATATATAGAATTATTTTTACCATTATTTTAATTTACGGATTTAAAATAATTATTAGTATTTTATAATTACTGAAGGGAAGATTCTTAATATTATTATTTCGATTTATTATTTACAGGAGAAAAACAATTAATGCCATTATTATAAGAAGGTTCATCTATATTATCATTTTTCTATTAAATAGAATCCAATTCGACTAAACTATCTATTATAATAGGTTTCGAGTTTTTGGAAGCACTTCCTAAAGGCTTATTAGAATCCATATAGAAGCTATCTAAATATTTAAAGCTTTAATTAGTTAAAGTTTATGGTTTATTTAAATTATTACTATCTTAATAGCTACTATTATAAATATTATTATTATTAATATTATTATTAATATTATTATTAATATTTTTATTAATATTATTATTAATATTATTTTTATTATTATTATCGTTATTTATTTTTAATTACATTTTAAGATTTCTTATTGCTTCTTTTTTTTTTATTTCCATATAATTTTTTATTATTCAAAATAATAACATTAACCATATTAAACCATTCATTAAAAATAACCTAAAACTATAAATTTACCTAAAATATTTCCTCCTTTAATATATTATACCAATAAGTAACATTATTAGCAAATACTTAATCATCAACCCATAATTAATATACTGAAGGTTTAATAATTATAGTTTCATATATATTTTTTTCATTTAATGTCCTTTCATAATTTATATTCTTATATTGTTATTATTTATTTTTTTTTTAGTATTAATTTTTGTCATATTATTATTAATTTTTTTCACATTCTTATTAATATTTCTCATATTCTTATTTATTTTTTCTTTTAATTTATTCCAAAAGTTCTTTTGCGGCTGGAATTAATTAAAATAAGTTTATATTTTTTAATTAAATCTAATTAAAGTTTTTCCCCAGTATATTTTTTTAGAACTTTTCACATATTTATATACATTTATATTAATTATTATTTTCATTTTCTAATATAAAGCTTATATACATATTATCATCTTTTATGACTCTAATCCATCCAAAAAGTGTGATTTCTTATTCCTAATGTAGATAAAATACCTTATATTTAATAATTAAAGGAATAGCATAGTTTTAATTTATTTTCTTGCCCAAAATCAGTTATAAAGTGCTCAGATTTGAGTTTATATTATCCCTTTATAGGAAATTCTTTAGCATTTCTTCGTGTTATTTCTATATTTCCTTCGCCTGAATAATTCCTATATTTTCGTTAATTACTTCAGATACCGGAACATCGAAAATATTCTCGAAATTATTAGAAACTTTGATTATTTTGGAAGGATATTTTAATAAGCTTAATAATATAGCACATGAATTTTTGGAAAAGAGTCCCTATTTATATAAATTATGTTTATTTCTATATGAAATCTAAGGATTAATTTATTTATATATATAATCAAAGGCTATATATTTTTAGAAAATAGACTAAATAGTATTTAGTGTTGAATTTCGTGGGTTTATTTTTGAGATTTTGAGTATTTTTTTTTATATTTTTCTATTTAAAAAGCAGTATTTTTAGGCTAAATTTTCGAGTTTTTCTAATTAAAAAAAGTCTTTTCCAATTAAAGAAAGTATATTTTTTTTCAAAAGAAGACTAATATTTAAATCGTTTTTTATTTTTTATAAATTTTCATCAAATTTAATTATTTAAACTAAATCAAAATTAGATATCTCATCTTTTTTTTCATAAAATATAATACCTTTAAAATAATGTAATTATTATTCGTTTTTTAAACTTAGATTTTTGTTATTATTCATACAATTAATAATTTTAATAATACACCCAATTAAATTCTTCTCGATATCCTATATATAATCAAAATACACGAAATGCATCTAACAAACTTATTTGCCTTTTAAATATGATTCGAATCTATATTTTACGTACCAATCAATAAATTTCTTCCTTTTATTAGGTTATAAATGAGAATTTTCATCATTTTAAATACAGAAACAATCGTTTTTTGTACATTAAAGCATGTGTTATATAATTATCTTTTCAAAGAAAATACTCATGGTGCTTTTTACATAATCTTCATACCATACCTATATTGATTAAACAATATATCTTAAATAAACTTCTAATAAATCTTATTTTTTAGAAAGTTGAACGTTTTCGTATTTATATAATAATGTTAGAAAGTTTTTTTACATAATTAATGCTCCGATTTTTACATTAAATACAGTAATTATAATAATACACAAAAAAGCATTAATTTCGTTAAAAATAAAATTATAAATGAAAATAAAAGATATTCCTAAATTAATTAATGTTAATTAAAAGTTTATTTTTTAAATGTAAAATTATAAAAAGGAAACTCGAAAAATTATTAAGAACCTAATATAAGAACATAAAAAATTGCACCATAATTTATATATTAATCTTAGATTACTTTTATTAAAAATATAGTTATTAATTATAAAAATAAATCTAGTGAATTCCATATATTATCTCTTTTGCTTAAAAAATCTTATTTTAAAAATTTATTATCATAATCATTAATATTTAAAAAAATACCTAAAAAAATAAAAATAATATATATATGTATATATATTTATATATTTAATTATATATAATATTGTTATTTTATATATATTAATATAATATTTTTATTTTTTTTACTTATTAAAATCGTTAAAATTAAATTTGGTGCTGCTATATACATATATTATAGATTTCTTAAAAATTAGAAAGAAACACTCAGTGAAGGTATATAAAAAATATAAAAATAACATTATGATTTTAATGAGAACAATTTTTAGAATAAAAGATTATTTATTTATCGTTTTTTTTGTTAAGAAAATATAAAAAATATGAAAATAATAAAGAACTCAATTATTAATATAGAATTTACAATAGAAATAAATAAAAGGATATAAAGATATAATTATTCAATCCTAAAGTATAATTATTAATATAAATCTTCAATAAATTAATATGTATTTTAATTATTTCGATATTATAAAACTAATCAATTTTCAAAACTTAAATTAAGTAATTATAAATTTTACAAAAGCAATAATGTTAAACTAACTCCAAACGATCTATTGGCTTATTTTATTATTTTATGAACTTATTCAATATAAAATTATTTAAAATAAAATCTCTATTTCATATTATTATTTTTAAACATAATTAGTTTTTATTTTTAGTTAATTTTTAATAAAAAAATGATGCTAATTGTTATTTTATAAATATATTTTTTCGAATATATAATGTTTAAAAATTAATTAAGAAGATTTTCAAATGTAAATAAAAATTTAAAATCTTAAAAAAAATTAAAATAAGTAAATTTAAATATATATTAATAAAATATTAAAATAATCGTATAAATATGTTATAATAATTTTAAATATAAATATAAAAAAATTAAAAATAATCATATATAAATAATTTTAAAAAATTATAAAATATAAAAAAATTATATATAAATATATATAATATATATATATATATATATAATAATTATTATTTTTTTAATATATAAATAAAAAAAATACTATTTTATATTTATACATTTACATATAATTTTATTATTATGAACATATATTTTTATATATATCTTTATTTTATAAAAAATAAAAAATATTTTAAAATAAAATTGATGTCAAGAAAATCATAATTTATAGCGAGATTTTTTATTTTTTTAATCTTCTGGTGTTTTTTATATTTTTCGAACATTTTTGATAGCCACTAACCTATATTTATTATAATTAAAGCTTTTCCTGGATACTTATTGATGGTATTTGGATGTTTTTCTCTCTTTTCAATTGGAAAAGAATTATTTTAATTAAAAGAATATCCTAATGAATATTAATCTCTTTTATAAGAAATCGACTAGGCAAAAGAATTTTATTCAAAACAAGAAATTTAATTAGAATGAAAAATAAAATATTAAAATTAATTTAACAAGAAATTAAATTTAAATATATGTAATTTTATGATATTTTATAATGAATTTTTTTAAATAAATATTATTTAATATGAAAAAAAAGAAGTATAATAGAAGAATTCATATTTTTTTTAAAAAAAAAAATATAATCAATATATAATAAATAAAAAAAATTATTTTTATAATTTAAACAATATCTAATACAATTATATTTTACTATATATTTTTTATAATATTTTTTTTAAAAAAATATGTTTAATTTTTATAAATAATATTTTTAATTTAAATTATTTTTATAATTAAAACTTCAATACCATTTATAATTATAAATAAATAAAAAAATACTAATTAATAATATAAATTTGTATTTTTTTATTAATGAAAAATAATATTTTCTTTTAACATTAATAAATATCTTATTTTATGTTTATAATCCGCAAGTACATTAGTCTTTAAGCTAAATGTAGAATATATATATTAAAATATAATTATTTATAACTGAACATTATACCAAAAACCAATTTATAATAATAATATATATAATTATAATAAAAATCAAGTTCTTATTTATTATTTTCTTAAAATTACTAAATATACATTAAATTTTTTAATGTTGTTTTTTTCATCTTTTTTATTTTTTATTTTTAGTTTATTTTTTCTAGAGTTATTTTTATAAGCATCTATATAGATATTTTTTTAAAAAAAAAAAAAAAATCTTCCTTTTATTCTTATTAAAAGGTATATAAAAATATATATGGACTTTTTATTTAATAATATGTTTTTATTCTAATAAATAAATTGATTTTCAAGGTAATTTACAAATAATATCTTTAAAAAGGTTGATTATATATATAATATAGGAATATATTCCTATTTTCAGTTGATCTTTTACATAATATAAAGTATTAAATCAAATAAGAATAACTATATTTAGAAAAACGAGCTAAATATAAAATAAATATTATAAGGAGGGGGAGGAGGGGAGAAAAAAAAAAAGGACTAAAAATCTTACAAAAAAGTAATAAAAAGAATCTAATAAAAAAAAAAATTAAACTAAAATAAATTTCAGACAAATTTATAAAAAAAAAAAAATATTAATAATTATTATTTGTTTTTTTTACATATATATATAATCTTTTTTTTAAAAAAAAATTATTTTTATTGCTAAAAGAATACTACTTTTTCAAATCTTTAGTCTATGAAATTTGATTTATAGATTATAAATTTTAATTATTTTGTTTATATTTCTTGAATATAATGAACTTTATTTTTTAAACTAAATTTATATAGACAACTTTAATTTCGCTATTAAAAATAAATTTAATTTTTATTTTTGTTTAATAAAAGATATTTTACAAAGTATTATTTTAATATATATAAGATTAAAATTATATTATATTTTAATTATAATTAGAATAAACACAAAAAAAAGAATTGTAATTATAAGTATTATATTAATATACTGTTATTCCAATAAAAAATGAAAGTGGTTAATATATGATTGTACTTAATGTTTCATTCTCCCTCGTTTTTAAATATTTATTTAATAATATTTTATTTAAAGTTTTTTATATTTGAAAGCTCAATTAATTAAGACTTAAATTAAAAAATCCGCGATATATATATTCATTTTTAATTAATAATTACAAAATTAAATTAAAAGCAATTGAAAAAAAAAATAATAATAATAAAATATTTATATACATATATATAAATATATATATATAATATATTTATTATATTTATTTATAAATAATATATATCAAAAATATAAAAAAATATCAATAATATATATAAATATATATTATTTACTTATGTATAATTTATTTAAATGATAAAATTTTCTCATATAAATTGTAATTTATTTTATAAGCCTTATTTTAATTTTTCATATAATTTATTTGAAATTTAATCTAATTAATAATCTGAACGTTTATGGGTATTTTTTAATAAAAACTATGATATTTCTTGGGTCAAATTTTAGACTCTAATTCGAAAAAAGCAAATTACCGTAAAAACATAGGGAAAAATTTTACGAGAGGCTAATTATATATTAAAATAAGGGGATATAATAAAATTTCCTATATAAATATCCTAAAAATAACAACAAAACATTTTATTAAAAGATAAATCTGATTAAGAAATCTAACAAGAAGTTAAATTATTTAAATAAATGATAATATATGAGGATAAAAATATTATTATTTTAAATAAAGAAAATGGTATTAGTACCTAAGGTGGTTAAAATGTTAAATAGAATTTAGTCACTTTAGGCACTACTTATTTGTCTTAATTTAATTAGAAATATACTGTAGTACATAGACTAGATAAGGTAACATCTGGAGTACTTTTTATTCCTAAAAAGAAGGAAATTACTTAAATTTTTGGTACTTTGTTCAATTAAAAAGACTCATTAAGTAAATATTATATAGCCGTATTAAATAAATCACCTCCTTCTTTTTCTGGAATAATAAACTAGCCTATATAATATTCCAATTAGAAATAAAGGGCTATAATAACCTCTTTTTTAAACGAAATAGATAATTAATTTAAGAGTGCAAGGACTTAATATCAAGTATTGGCTGCATTTAATATCAAAGATGGTAAAATAGACCCTTATATAGTAAAAGATGATAAAGACTTCCAAAAAAATAAAAATTGTGAGTTTTGTTTGGTAAAAATAAAGATATTTGAAGGTCGAAAACACCAAATAAGAGTGCATTTTAGCGAAGTTTGTAAAGCTGCAATTTTGGGTGATATTAGATATGATTGGTAATAAAAAAATAGGGAAAAAATGTTCGGTTTTTTATAAGAAAGAAGTATATTTTTACATTGTTTTGAGACTTTTGTTAGAAACTAAGTGCTTTTTTATAAAATTTCGGAAGGAATATAAAATGATTTTTATGAGAATTAAAAAGGGGCGATTTTCTTAGATTAAAAAAAATAAGAAATTTAAGTAAAAGCGAAATTTCCGGAACATTTCGAATCTTTTTTTAATCTATGTTTTAAAAATAAATAATAAGATAAACTAAAATTATATAAATATATTAATTCTGTATATTTTTGAGAGAAAAAATAAAAAAATCAATATACATATATAAAAACTATATATTTATTTATATATATATATATTTTTAAATCAACAAGGTTTTTTTATACCTACTAATGCGCCACAATGTGGGCAAAAATGTTTTTTATTTTAACAGTCTTGAATACAAAAAGGAATAAAACTTAAAAGGACACCAATAATACATAATCCTATACACATACAATATGTAAAACAACCTGGTTCTACTAGAACATTACTTACGGCTGTATTTAGACAAACTTTACACTTAAAAGCTGTAGGGTTATCAAATTAACTTAAATCATTAGGAAGCACTATATTATTACTTTCTATGGGAATATTTATAGGATCATTAAATTATGGATTTTATTATAAAGGAGGAGGTGGAGGAAGTAAATATTAATTATTATTTTATTAATTTATGGGTTGCATATATGGATATATTAATGGAGTGTTTTATTCGTTATTTAATAATGGAGCACCTATATTATTATTATATTGCTAGTTTTAATGTGGTATTGGCTAGCATTAATATAATTAGTAAGGATCAGTATTTTATTAGTAGTTTTGACAAGAATTTGTTTGAGGTTGGGAATGATATTAAATTTAGAGATTTTATTACTAATAAGGAATATATTCTGGAGGTTATATATAATTTTAAGGGATATTATTGTCTTACATTATTTTTTTTGATTTTAATTAGATATATTTTTTTTTTAATGTTTATATATATATTTTAATAAATCTTATTAAAATAAGTTATTATTAAACAAAAATCATCTTATATTATTATATATATATTAATAAAAATAAAAATATGATAAGAAAAAAAAATTAAAATTTATAAATTATTTAATTATGTATTGATATTTATAGAAATTATATAATAATATAAATAATTATATATATATTTATATATATATATTATATATATTTATAAATATATTTATATAATTTATATATTATATATATTTTTTTATATATATTTTTATCATATAAACTATTTATTTTATATTTAATCTATTTCATTTTTTAAATTAGTATATAAAATTTCATTTTTATTTATGTTCTTTTAATAGCATAAAATATTTTACCTTGTTTTGTATATTTTATATTATCTATTTATTTTATTTAAATATTTTTTTTTTTAATTTTAATTTGATTCATATAATAAATTTCTAAAAAAATATTTAAATAAATGAATTAATATTTTGATATATTTTTCGAAAAACTATACAAAAAATATTTTTCAACTGATTAAAAACATGAACAAATCAATTAACTTAAAGAAATTTTATCCATAAATCCTCTTCTTATATATAAAACTGAGGAAAAATGGTTACAAAACAGATCAAAAATAATATTATTATGCAAAAACAGTCAAATAAAAGCTACAATATATTCCACAATTGGTTATTTTTCAATAATTCATTTAATAGGTTTATTTAAATTTTCGA